TTTGCAAAACTTTATTTTCTTTTGCAAAACTTTATTATTTTGCATATATATGTGGCATTATATTGACTCCATAATATTGACTCCATATTTGATGTCTGAATCATTCATTCAAGAGATTCAAAACGAAACAAGTCTTCATTTATCTTCATTTATTTAAAATGATTTTTTTTTTTACATAATTAGGCTAATTCGTTTAAATGAATAAATATTTTTAGACTAATTTACTATAACATTAATAAAACATTTTGTCAGAAACTCAAGTAAATTAGGCTTACATATTTTGTTTGGTTGTCTATTTTGTTTTCAGAATCGTGGGAGAATCATAGCTTAAAAATACATAGGCTAATATATGTGGCAACTAATACCATTAGTAGGTAATATATTCATTATTTTATAGGTAATATTACTACTTTTTCTAATATTAAAATTACTTCTGCAACCCAATCCCAGAACTAACCAACAGACTTTTTTTGCAGCCGCTTATTAATAATATTTTTGCTTTTTATCAGCAGTTACTTTGAAAAAAAAAATCAGAAATTCAGTCATTTAATTCAAACACATTGAATTAAATGTGAAATTTTTAAATAGAAAAAAGTACATATTAATTAAAAAAAACATACTCCAATAATCGTTTTATTTACAACTTGGGGGAAAAAAACGTATTTTTTTCCCAGTTTAGTGTTGTATTAATTATTATAATAACTATTAATTGGGAGTAGCACTGTGATGATTCATGGTAGCTATGGACTTTAATCTTTCCTAAAATTAGGCAGCTTGTTAAGAAGAACTGTGCTATTGTTTTTATTAATGATCTGATGTAGCTGCAGCATTTTAGCCTGTCAGATGATAATATGAGCACACAAAAAAAGAGAGAAAAAAACACATTTTGAAGTAGGATCCTAAGCCACTAGCAACAACCAAGAACACTCCAGCAACTAAAAAGCATCATACACTCTAAAAAATGCTGGGTTAAATATAACCCAGCGCTGGGTTAAAAAGGGACAAACCCAGCTATCGCTGGGTCAAAACAACCCAATAGCTGGGTTTGTCCCTTTTTAACCCAGCATTTTTTAGAGTGTACAAAAAAAACAAAAACCTTAGCAACTACATAGCAACACCCTGGCAACCACCCAGAAACTCTTGGCATTGAACTGATGAGTTTTTCAGAGGCAAAATCTTCTTTAATCTTTGCATCCAACCTTTATCCATTTAGGCACTAAAAATGCCAGGAAATGTGAATATAGATGTCTCAAGGCAGCTCAGGGCTCTGCTTCTACAACTCACACGAGCCTCCATGTAGCGCAGGATTTGGTTGCTTTGCACGTGTGAGGCATGCTTGAATGCGTTCTGTGACATTGTGACCCCTCATTGATTCATTGCAGATAATAACAGATGGTCACTCCTTAGAATTTTTAAAATTAGCCCCCTAACAGATGGATATTTAAGCATGACTAATATCCGTGATTTTGATTTATTAATTAATGACGGGTTTGTGTCACGCTTTTATAAATTGCCACACAACAGTGTCTATTTGTCAAACAAGCTCAGTTTAAAAAGCCATCTTGGGAAGCAGTGCACTTTCTGTTATTTCTAGGAAAGAATAGCCATTTTGTGTTTAGACGTGCTTGCATAATATGAAACAAAAAGATGCACCAGACACCACCCGATCTAAATATTCCCTCACACTTGAATCTTTTTAAGTAAAAAACTAAAACTTTTTCTTCACTGATAAAATAGATAACATCAGAAATACAATAACAAATGTAGATTCTACAGCATCTAATACTTCAGCTTCATTCATCGCACCCAAAGAAAAACTGCAGTGCTTTACAACTATAGGACAGGAAGAGCTAAATAAACGTATCACTGCATCTAAACCAACAACATGTTTATTGATCCAAATCAGCATATTAGAATGATTTCTGAAGGATTATGTGACACTGAAGACTGGAGTAATCACTGCTGAAAATGTAGCTTTGCCATCACAGAAATAAACTAGTTACAGGTTACTAGAATAAACAAGCTACAGGTAGTCCAAAATGCAGTGGCTAGAATCCTTAACAGGTCAAGAAAATATGATCATATTACCCCAGTTTTACAGTCTCTGCACTGGCTACCTATTAAGTTCCGTATCAGTTACAAAATATTATTACTTACCTATAAGGCCCTTAATGGTTTAGCTCCTGCGTACCTAACTAGCCTTCTACCACACTACAATCCATCATGCTCCCTAAGGTCGCAAAACTCTGGACTTTTGGTAGTACCTAGGATAGCAAAGTCCACTAAAGGAGGTAGAGCTTTTTCGCATTTGGCTCCCAAACTCTGGAATAGCCTTCCTGATAACGTTCGGGGTTCAGACACACTCTCTCTGTTTAAATCTAGATTAAAGACACATTTTTGCAACGATTTGTATCGTAAAAGGCACTATACAAATAAACATTATTAAATTTAATTGAATTGAATGCACTGCTTACTAATAAATAACAAGTGAAATTATTAACATGCTACATAACTTATGCTACACGTATTGCATTATTAACATCTTTAGCAATGGCAACTCTTTTTAATTTCCTTTTTGCTTGTAGATAAAGTGTAAAGCTTTCATTTCTGACCTTGCAAGGCTTAAAGATGCTGTGAATGTGCAAATATCATCAGGGACCCTGGGGCCTCTTGATCCTAAAGGAGATCAACAAGGTGGGGCAGAATGTTGATTCAGCATGTACAACGTGCCCAAGTGACCTATTACTGGGTTAATTTACCTTTTACTCTTCCAAAGAAACATCACACTCAGCATTTGCTTATGTCATTCCTTTTTCTAACATTCTTAGCCTGTGAAGCACCGAAGCTGAACCAATCTAAAGCTTGCAAATTGAAATTCGTTTATAATTTACGCTCTACCGCCCTCTAGTGTCTAGACACATTAAATTACTATGGATAAGATTGACAGGGTGGGAAAGGGTAGGATTACCAAAGATATTCGATCTGATTGGATTCTAAGAATGTTTAAAAACAATTGTTAATGTGACTTTTCAGTCATGTTCAGTTACATTAATAACAAATATATTTTATTTGTTTAAATAAAAAAGGCCAATAAAAATATAATTCTATAGAGTGTGTGTGTGTGTGTATATATATATATATATATGTATATATATATATATATATATATATATACACACACACACACACACACACACACACACACAACATGCTTTACAAAATCGAATAGTTGTAACGCTACCACAATTTGTATTGTTGGGGCTATTATAATTAGATGCGCATTTAATAGGTTATAAACAGTGCTAGTTTTCAACTATAGAGCCTAAACGAACATAACGCCCGATTCTGAATTTATTAAGCCTACGATTGCCATTGGAAGATAATGACAAAACGTCAAAGGCGCCTAATTTATATTCATGAGATAGCCGTGTACCATTGGAACGTTACCACGAAACGTCAACGTGGCCTAATTAATATTCATGAGCAGAGGCTTCGCCGTAGTAGGATTCGTGATTTCGGACCCGGAAGTGGTGTAATAGTTACTCGCTCTGTGTTTAGTTTTTGAGTTTGAAAGCGGACTGTGTGTGTTTTCGCACAAATGGAAAGTTGACCGCTCGGGAATGGAAGATGAGTCTTCCATGCGTATGAATGTCAACGCTCAAAATATGCCCGGTTATATTGGACGCGACGGGGAATCTGTCCATGTATCCAGCGGGACACGGAGCACTGATTTCGGCCGGGATGTCCGCAGCAGCGACACGAAGGTGCCATCATCATTATCGTTATCCTCGAAGGATGTTTTGGAATTTCATAAACACAAACATGAGCCAGGAGGCAATAATAAAGAAAATGACGAGAGGGAAAACATAAGACCCGTGGATATTTTAAAAAGGAATGTTGGTTCCACTATCAGAGATCCAGAAGATCCCACAGACCTAGAGAAAGTAGAATTTGACATCAAATTGAACGACTTGGATCATGAAAAGGATGATGAAAGGATGCAATGTAACACAAAAAGTCTCCAACAAAACATGGAGAGTAACTCAGGATTGGGAGATACTGATGGGAATCATCATATTGATTATATTGATTTGAAGAGTGGTGAAGATCCCAGCCAATCAAAAGAGCATGTTTACTGCACTGTATACTGTATTGCCAATGATAATTATAGGATACCTGTTGAGAAAACAACATCTGATCATGAAACTACATCATTGTCATCATCATCAGCAGATGTGCTGGTTTTACCTCCCACCGACTTGCCAAATTCAGAATTGGACTATGAGCACTATCCAGAGCCCTATACAGTCTCCGACTTGATGCTGTCTGGAATAAACGGCTCCTATAATGCTGACAACAGTTTATCTGTTGTGTTAACATGTCGAATTTGTCTTGATGACAAACAAGCCATACCACTACACTGCTGCAAAAATGCAGTTTGTGAAGAATGTCTGAAAAGATACATCATCTCACAGGTATCCACATCCATACTATCTCAATGCAAGTTTTTCCTTTCTTTTCAGCACTGAATAAAATCTTATTTGCAGGGATGTTCCTTTGTATGTGTCTGCAACCACTTTTAAAGTGGACTGATGCAAACCTAATATGCCTCTACATGCCAGCAATGAGAATCACATCCTACTGAAGCTGTGAAACAGCTGTCATCTTCATGTGCTTTTCTGTCTTTATACCCTGGTATAGTGATGGTAATACTGTGATACTGCATGATCACCATGTTTATGGTCTTTACAAGGTACTCCAAGGTGTTTCAACAAGCATGTTTTGCTGGAGGATCACCTGTCAGTCAGTCTGATATTTGCTTTTCTTAATTAATTGTCTTCTAATTATAGTATGTTTGTGGAGAAGTTCTCCATTGTGTTTGTGAAAATGTTCTTGGCCTGTCCTGTCCTGCTTTGGAGAAGTAATGCATTTCCTGTGTTGCTTAGACTGGCCCGTGTGGTCATCATAGATTTGAAATGTTTTAGTCATTTTCTTACTCCCTTTGCCACAGAGCAGAGGCCCTTATTGTGTAACACAATACAGTCATGTCTGTGTGATATAAAAGAGCATGACGATTTTTGAGTTCCTCAGATAGATACATGACACACCAGCAAGTGTTTAAACAGTCTTGCCAGGGCTTTGGTTAAACTGAAAAAAAAATGGAATTATAATAATGGAATGGAGGCACGGTCAACTAGTCATCTGGCCATTTTTATTTTGATACTTTTAGTAGTGCCTTAATTTGCATGCATAGACATTTTGCATGGTAAAAAACCTCTTGGAAAAGTTGCATCTTTAAGTTAATCCCGTTTAAAGCATCACTGCTATATGAATTCAGATTGGCTGTTGATATTTTGGGGGGGTTTTGAGATGGCATATATAGTTCAACTTCTAAACTTCTCAAGACCTATTCGATTTCACTCCATCTAGCTGTTTTTGAACGGAAGAACATGCCTCATGTAAACAACCCCTTAAGCTGTATTTTATGTTAAAATATCCCAACTTGTGTGACTAGAATTGCGACAGTTGTACCGGCTTTACTGATAAGATGCGCGTTAAATATCGCATGCGATTTATCGTGCAGCCCTAATCTGAAGATTGCAGACATTGAAATGGTCGCCTAGGAAATGAATCTGACCGTGTCACTTGAACCCCAAGTTGAAAATTCTGCAATCATTTAAAATGAAATGAAAATGCTGCAATCATTTACTCAACCTAATTTGATTTTAAGCCTGTATGACTTTCTTTCTTTTATGCAACACAAAAGAAACATTGGAACCCTATATACTTTGAAACAGTTTCACTCAGAATTTGCTTGTAAATTTCACAATTTCAAAGAAATGACAATTAACACATTGAATTAAATGTGAAATTTTGAAGTGAGAAAGACTGAAATTGTATGTTCTTGTAAAACATACTCCAATAATCTTTAAAACTTTGTTGATTTTCAGAGTTGACTTTCATTGTATGGACATGGAAAAAAAAAAAAAAAAAAAAACCTTGAGGACACAACATGAGGGTGACTAAATGATGACAGAATTTTAATTTTTCTTTGAACTTCAAGACCTTCATGTTACCCTAAACTCAAAATATATAGTTTTTCACATCCCTAGTTTGGATGAAATACTGTAATATCAGGTTCTTAGAAAGAGGAAGAGGTCTAGAATTTTTTTTTCTACCCAGTGGCAGTGAGTCATGTTGCTGGCAAGGGGAGGAAGAACTTGTGCTGTAATTGATTGCTTAATCACTGAGCTCAGCCTCTCAGTGCCTTAATTACATTACATGACTGTTGGCTGGAAGGTCTGTGCGCGGTTTGCAGGCAACATAGAAACAATTTGCCCTCCTGGCGGGATCTTGGTCGTAATCAAGTAACGTTGGCTTGCCTGTTGTTGCTGCTCTTCTCTCAAATCAGATTTATTACCCCCGTGAATGATCTTGGGGGTCAGGCAGAGGTTGATGTGATGATGATAGCTGAATGTATTAGTCTGGTTTTGTCTTATTCATGCCCAAGCAGTAACCTGCATTTGGTGAGCTCACTTGGCCTGTTTAGCTGCAAGCCTAGACCTTTTTTCTCGACTGTGATCTGGAGTGCACAACTATGACGATGATGCTGCCAAAAAGAATTTTGTTTATATAGCCGCTTACAGATAGATCGCCACTTCTCCCATTGTTGCAGCGTGTGTTTTGCTATTCATGGACGTACTGTAAAAAGCTGATTACCTGTAAAACCTGTCTGTTTGAATCGTATCCAGTGACACAGCTGTGTACAGCGTCATAACAAGGTGGTGTAATGCATAAGCACTTAGTTTCTGGTTCCGGTTACTTGAAAACATGAAAATGTCCCGTTTTATGTGAGCATTAGGATTAAAAAAAAAATGACGTGAAGTGCAATCTATGACTAGATTTATGTTTTTACTTTGGCAGTTCTGTCATCATTTACTCGCCCTCATTGTCTTGTTGTGAACCCCATTGGCTTCAATTTTATGGACATTTGCAACTTTTTTCAAAATATCATCTTTCTTTTTCAGGTGAACTATTCCTTTAACGTCTGCATTTATGAGTTAAGTTTTCCCTTTTGTTGTATGATTCGAATCATCATTTGTGCACTTTTCTACTTTTTAAAGGTGACATTCAACAACCCTGCTTTCATTGCAGTCATTTTTAGGCCTGTGCGGTGCATGATTTCAAAAGCAATTTAGATAATAAGAATACATGAGATCAAATGAATGCTATGAATATGGTTTGTAAGCAGATGAAAGGGCGATCGGTTAATGTGCACTTTTGCTGAAGAGAAATGGCAAGAGGTTTGCACTACAAAAGACTCATTTAAATAGCTAATATTTAACTTAACCGAGCCACTGTTTCTCATTTCAGGCCTTTGTGTTGGGTTTGGCAAATGGGGCGGCTGGTCTAAATGTCAGGTGCCTATGGCAAGGGCGTTTGGTTCATTCTTAGGAGTAATATTTCAGAATGCTGGCTTGTACTGGGTTCATTAGTGGTTTACTTATTACGTTTAAAGAGACTTGGATAGTCGTAATATACAGCATGTCACTATAATGCCATCTCAGGATTAACAAATATAAATATGGTGACAGCAGTCTCATAATCTGACTATTTTTTTTAATGCTTTTGAAATGAATGAAAGTGTTGTGTGCCGTTCAAAATTGAAATCAGAATGAAATCAAAACAGGATACAGAACTGTAATCTTTAATATATAATTTATTAATAAAAACACATTCATGTTGTGGGTATGATAATATAGACAAGTTTATGGACAAGTATGAATTGTAGCCATCAACAGCATATATGGGGTATTTCATCCAAGAAGTAATTTAGGGGTTTGAGATCTAAATATATTTAGATTTTTGTAGTTAATATTTTTAGCAGCATTGTTTCAAAGGACATGAATAAAGAGACAACTTCTCAGAGCTGTCTAGTGTGCTGATAGCATTTGGCACGGTAAACTATTTCAGAGAGTTTGTGTCTTTTTATATTCATCCCCTTTTAAGCAGCACTGCCGCAGCCATCAAAACACTGCTTTTGTAACAATTACATAGCCTTCAACAATCATAAATTACAATTACTGTCAGACCTCAAACCGGCTGCTCTAAGTAATGTTTCCATTATTATGCATAAACTGTGACTTCTTCAGTCTGCTATTTTTTGATTGTTGCTCTAAGTAAAAAAAAGCAAAGCTTGTTTTCAGCATCATGAATGTATCAAGTTAAAAATAGTTCTGTAACTTTTTTTAAACATGAGATCCAAGATCCTTGCATTCCATTCCATTTTGTTGTGCCCAGTCCAGCTGTTTTTGAACCCAAGCATGCAATCTGTGTGAATGCATGAAATCTGTGGTTGCAAAATATGTTTCTTTAGTTGGAGCAGGGGCTGACTGGTAGGTTATCATTTTTATTTTTTTAATATATATATATAACATTTCTGTCCCCCTCACTTCTGAAATGATGGCTACGCCCCTGAGTTGGAGTAATGAAATATCTTTTGTGTGACTGTTGAAAGTATATGAATTCCAACTAATAAACTGAAAGTGGCACAATTCCTAAATTCTGAATGTTGCCCATTAATGCCCAACATCCCTGATGCACAGGAGCTCAATTTTACCAAGCTTTTTTCTTTTTTTTTTGGATAGTCAAAAACTTTAAATGACAGAAAATGGCTAAAGCAGTGACAGATGGTTTTCATAAACCTGTCTATTTCATAAACATGGACCCAAGTTTTGGAGCACAGCATTTTGTATTTTACAAAAGGATTTGGTAAAAGACTCTTGTTTTACTCTGTTGACAGGAACATTTACAGGTATGTCTGCTATGGCATTGTAAAAGCAGCAATTAAAAGTCACAGTACCAGAGTAATACCTAAAGAATTTGGAAATGTCTGCTTTTGAATTTTTGCTTTGATGTACAGTATATGCCTCAGTAGATTTGATATTAGGTATCAGATTGTGTGAAGGTTTGGTAAAGATTTGTTGGTTGGTTTCACTGAACTTTTGTAGGCTTGCAGAATAACCAGTCCATTTAAATGTATTAATGTATAGTTGTTTCTGCTAGACTGAATATTGCCTACAACCTACTGTAATTGAGATGTATGAGGCCTTAGATTAAAATATGCATGCAGTACTCCGATGAGGTGATGCAGGAAATCTGCTGAGAAAATAAAAAATGTTTGATTACTTTTTTTATGGATGCTATACTGAAAGTGTTTGGACATGCACTTTTCCCACAGCAATTTGGTTGCTGTCTTACTGTTGACTGAGTGTTTACTGTAATAGATCTGCGTTATTCTTAACAGGCATGTGGCCAGCCTCAAAGAGCGAATTCTGCACTCGATTTCACATCCATCAAAAAGATATCTCCCTGAGAAGATAGCCCACCTCAAGAGGTGGTGCTGGTCAATAAGAAAACATGTCAGAGTGAATACAGGATGCCAGCGTGTGATATGGCGGGCTGAAAATCAGACTCTCCATCCATACTGAGAGGATTGTTCACACCTGCAGTGGGTGCTGAGTGCCATTATTGTGCTAGCTGTGCGGTCGGCCCATTAGCAGCAGGCTGACAGGTGTAAAAAGGGCCGGTGGGTGGCCCTGGGGGAGTGCTAGCACTGCTGTCACCAGTTGGTGCCACGTACTCAGGTAAGGGCTCTCATGGGAGTGCCAGATCTCATTAGGATCGCAAAGTAAACTCCAAGCACACCGGGCTCTCAGAATCTCACCTGCTGCGAGCACAAGATGCCACACAATCAGCCACGAGAGCCCTTCTCTCAACATGAGCATTGTTCGGGCTGTTTACCAAGACCATCTTTTGCATTAGTCAGGTGCATCAGTTAAAAATGACCCAAGCAGCGTCCCCAAACTAGTACAAGCTTGTTCCAGCAGAAGTTAGATCAGCTAAAGCTGTGTCCCAACTTAGTGATATACTATACATTATGCACTTTATACTATGCACTATGTACTCAGCCATCTAGTGCATGAGGTTTAAAAGTTTATTTTGTCGTCCACCATCAGAGTGTCTACCCTCCCTATAGACTATGTAAGGAAAGCTGCAACAGTTTAGTGCATGAAGTGTCAGACATTCCACACTTTTTTTGCAGATAAATAAGTGCATCTTCCGTGTATTTTTTAATTGCACTTGTTGGAATTTTCAGTGTGAATGACTACAAAATGAATAAGAATAGTGCATAATTATGTGAACTGGGATGCACTTTCACTTATTTTATTTTCTCATTTGAATGTGACTTTGACATTCTTAAAAAAATCTCCAAATGATTCTTCTTGTGTGTACATTTATCCATTTAACCCAATTGTGTTAAGCAATATTTGTGTACTAGTTGATTATTTGGTCTTAAAGTCACAATGTAATGGAAATAGCAACATCTTTTCTTCCATATTGTGACATATTGTACATTATTATTGACAAACAAGCAAAAAAAATAAATAAATGATTGGATAAGTCCGACATACGTCAGCAGAGAGAAGCTTATCATTTCACCAAAAGATTGAATTAGGATAATTCAATTAAAAATATTTTAAAAATCTAGCTGACTAAATGACTAGTCGATTGTTGTGAAAGTTACTCTTGTTCTGTGACACTCTTACAGGATTAACCGTAACTCAAGAGCTTCCACAGAATGGGGTAATTGTTATCAAGCCATTGCCATATTTTAGGGATGGACATTGTCATAGTGGTAGTAACTGTGGGGGTTAATTTTTATCATCCTTTCTTGGTGCTCACATCATGATTTTACAGACGGAATCCAGTCTGGTCTATTTTAGTCCAGAATGCATTGCTTCCAGATAGGCCTGTCGCAATAATCAATATATTGATTTATCGCGCAATATATGTACATGACCTCAATCATTTTTGGTGACGCAATATATCGCCCATTATATTTTCTTAAAAATTAATGTCACCATGTTTTGTACATTCCACTTGCGCCTGTGTCTTTTGCAGCTTCTTGTACATAACGTGGTGTAGTCATGAGGTGCTAGTTCAAATTTAAAAAATGCTTCTACAAACAAAGTTTCATCTGCAGATATGGTCTTGTTTAGGGATCTGTGCCTTTGTGCATATGAACATCTGACTGCTAAGTAGGGATTGTATTTTTCAGCAATCGTGTGCACCCTTAATTTACAGAGAAAAGAAGGTCCGGGAAAAATCTGTAGATGGAAAAATCTCCATACAAGTTCTTTGTGCATTTTTCTTTTTTT